TCGCTCCGGGGCTGCAGGCAGCGTCGGCTGGTTGCCGGGCTCCCGGGGGGGAGGGAGGAGGAGGCTCCCCCCGCAGCGTTTCTCGGCTCTCCAAGCACGGCCCTGGCGGGAAGGGCTGTCTGCCCGGAGCTCCAGTTCCCAGCCCCGCCGGGCTGGCATCGCTTATTCTCCAGGCCATGCATTATTCAGCGCTTGCCTGTGAAACCCTAGCCTGGGGGGGGAGGGAGGATCACTTCTGCCCCTGGACCACGGGGCCAAGCTGGGTGGCGTGTTCCCTCCTCCCCACCCCCAGCCTCCCGGATGTGGGGGGCAGCATTGCAGGCTTGATTTCGGAGCCCCGCGCTGTGGGGGCCGGAAGCTATTCAGCCCCCGAGGGGAATGCGCCCACGAACCCCGCTAGGGCTGGAACTCGCCCCCTCCCCCCACGATGGATCACTGCGACGTGCGGTCCCGCGTGGGGCTCTGGCCACCCCCCAGCTCTGAGCCACTGGCCCTGTTGGGGTTACACGGACCCCGCCCATGCTCCCCCCGAAGGCTTTGGGGTCCCTGCCCCACTGCACGGACGGGCAGCCGAGCCCCTCTCAGTCCAAGTTTGCAGCAAGCAGCTCCCCTCCCGGGGAACAGCCTCTGCTGGGGGGGCACCGCCACCATGGGGGGGAGACCGCAGAGCAACGGCTTGGGGGGGGCTGCCCCTTCCCCGCACCACCCCCAGCTTCCACCGCAGCAGCGGGCGCTGCAAGGACGGACGGGGGGGGGCACCTGACCGCTCCCGCGAGCCCCAGGGACTGGCAGAGGGCGGGGCGTGGGGGGGGGGACAGTTTATGAATGGAATTCTCCAGTGGGAACCCAATTACTATGCCGCGCGACGCTCCTCGCCCCACAGGTGATTGGCTCCTGCGTCTCATTGACGTCACCCAGCAGAGAGCCAGGAGGAGCCGCAGGCTCAGGCAGTGGCAAAAAAAAAAAAAAAAAAAGGAAGTGAGTCACCCCCCAAAAGCGGCTAATTCACTATAACTCCGCGGCGTCTCCCCCAGCCCCGGCTCTCGGCAGCTGCCCATGGAACGGAGCCCTCCGCCTGCATCCTGCGAGCAGGACCGGAGCATCCGCAGAGGAGCCGCGAAGGATCCAGGCGGACTTCCCTGCCCCAGCGCCCCAGGTGAGGAGCCCCGCTCTGCATGGGGGGGAGCCCTTTTTGCGTCCCCCTCCACGGCAGCCCTAGAGCCCCGGGAGCGTTAGAACTTGCAGAAGAACCAAATAAGGTTTACAAGAAGGATCGGGGGGCTATAGACATTGACACCCCCCCCCCCAATCTAAAGCAAAGTCTCGCTCCACGAGCTGGCAAGTCGGAGCAGACAAGGTTCTCCTGTTAACCTAGAGACTGGGTTTATAATCGATCTGAGGGGGCAGCTTTCCAGGTAGAGAACTGCATTAAAAATGCAAAGGACACTGGGAGGGGGGGAAACAACCCCCAACCCAGCAGCCACCCAGGGAGCAGTAAAGAAGGGTTTTCAGCACTCCTACTGCAAATTCAGATGCATGGCAGGATTGAGAAAGCAGCTCTTTGGCGGGTGACAGCCCTCGGGGATAGATCTGCCAGAGCCCAAGCAAGGACTGGAGCAGTAAAAGGGAAAAAAATGTAATCAGGCTAATGGTCAGAGACTTGACCCCCACCCTGCTCTTTCCACTACCAAGATTTAGCTCTAGAAACTTTACAGCGTCAGCAGTTAGGGCTAAGTTAATAAAAGCCCCTGGCAGGCAAAACATGTAGTTCCAGCTGGGGAGTATGTATTCACTGCAATTGTGCACCGCCTGCAGCTCAGGGGAAGCAAACACAGGCAAGGAAACAACTGGAGGAGGGAGTTTCCTGCCCCCTCACCCTCTCCACCCACCCACCCACCCCCTTTTTTTTGCCTGCTCAAAAAAGAGGAAAAAAGTGCAAAACTGACCAGAAATATCCTCACCGTAGGAGCAAATGGTGAGCATGCCACACACCTGGATAGCTTAAATCAACTGAACCTGCACTGTAGCCTACCGTGTAAGCCTTGATCAGAGCCAGCTTTTGGGAAAGCCAATGGGAAGCAAGGTGGGTGAGGCTGCCCCCCCAAATCTGCCACCAAAAGAGACTGGACACCGATCAGTGCTCAGATGTGCTCATGAGTAAAACAAGTCAGTTTGCATGCCAGAGCCTTTGTATGTGCAGGATGCCACTAAATGAAAATTGGTGCTATGCCTTCGCAGGTCACACCTGGACGTCATGAACAAGGACATGTCCTACAACTCCACTGAAGGCCAGCAGGGCTGGTTTGCAGCCAGTAATGGCAGAAGCAGCTCCTTGAACCTGGACTCTGTGGTGCAACCTCTTGCCCTGAATCCCTGGGATGTGGTACTTTGCATCTCTGGGACCATCATCTCCTGCGAGAATGCGATTGTGGTAGCTGTCATATTTTACACCCCTGCCTTCCGGACTCCAATGTTCCTGCTCATCGGGAGTCTTGCCATTGCTGACTTCCTGGCCGGCCTGGGACTGATATTCCACTTTGCCTTTGTCTATTGCATCCAGTCGCAGGTGGTGAACCTCATCACTGTGGGACTACTGGTGACCTCATTCACTGCCAGCGTGGGCAGCCTGCTGGCCATCACCGTAGACCGCTACCTTTCCCTCTACAACGCACTGACTTACTATTCAGAAAGGACGGTCACCAGGACTTACATCATGCTGATCCTGACCTGGGGGTTTTCCATCTGCTTTGGGCTGCTGCCTGTCATGGGTTGGAACTGCTTGAAAGACGTCTCCACCTGCAGCATCGTGAAGCCCCTGACCAAGAACAACCTCATCATCCTCTCCATCTCCTTCTTCATGGTCTTTGCAGTGATGTTGCAGCTCTACGTACAGATCTGCAAGATAGTTTGCAGGCACGCCCACCAGATCGCTGTGCAGAGGCACTTCCTGGCCACCTCACACTACGTCACCACCAGGAAAGGCATCTCCACCTTAGCTGTCATCTTGGGGACTTTTGCTTCTTGCTGGCTGCCCTTTGCCATTTACTGCCTCCTGGGAGATTACACCTACCCAGTCCTCTATACCTACATGACCATCCTCCCTGCTACCTACAACTCCATGATTAACCCCGTTATCTATGCCTTCAGGAACCAAGAGATCCAGAAAGTGCTGTGGACTGTGTGCTGTGGGTGTTTCTCTTCCACAATGCCTTTCAGGTCCAGATCTCCAAGCGACGTCTGACGCATCAGCCCTCGGTCCAAAGACCCATTTGCACACGATGTTCCCCTTTTTGCACAACCACAGAGATTTTGTGAGAGCTCTTAAAGATTCTGTGTCTCCTATGATTCCCCTTCCCTTGTGTGCATGAGCTGCTCTCTTCCTTTATTTTTCCACTTTTAGAATTTACGGAAGAAAAAAAATATTTATTTTTTATCCATAATAAATAAATAAAATATGTATATTTGTGAGTGTGTGAGAGATCCTCCATAAATATTTTCTTTGACACAATATTTATGGTGCATTTTTTTTAAAGACAGACAATATCTTTTTGTTCTTTTGGCTTTTATACAGCCTGGTTAATTACCTCAGCTCTTCAGATATTATTTTCTACATCAAAGATCCATTGTTTCCCCTGTAACAAGGGACCAGAACCAAACCAGCTTTTTTTTTTTTAAATATTTATGCATTATTTATTAATTTATTGTTATTTATGACCAGCTTTTCCAAGACAATAGATTTTTCTGAACTCTGTAGTTTGCTGCCCTCTTGTGTTCACGCTGTTTTAATACAAAAACTAATGGTGGCTCCTTTTGCATGTTGAGTACCCTGGGTGGTATTAGGTAATGGAATGTTTTAACTGTATCAAATATAGACAACTGGAGCGAAAAAGGGAATGTTGCAATATTAGACTGTGCCTATAAAAACCCAAGGGCTCAGATGATCCGAGTTGCTTTCTAAACCATTGCACTAGAAACTATTCAATTAACTAAAGTTTCTGTCCCAGGAGAGACAGATTGCACGTGTTCAACTGGCCAAATTCAGATTCAGAGGACAGCTATTCGGTGTACTGTACGTTCTTCAGGTTTGCATGAATCTGGAAAGGAAGTGAATGTAAGAGGCACTTTGGACATTTGAAATCTCACTGCATTGTTGCACAGACTCTTGTTCCATGTGATTTGGAAAGTACTGTATTCTTGTTTACAATTGTAAGAGAAAAATAAAGATAATTTGTGATACAACACGTGGCTGCTACTTGATTTGTGTGGGAGGGAGATAGTGGAAGATCACTGTCAGGGCCGGCTTCAGGCACCAGCTTAACAAGCAGGTGCTTGGGGCGGCCAAGGGAGAGGGGCGGCACCTGCGGCAATTCGGGGGTGGCAGGTCCCTCACTCCCTCTAGGAGCGAAGGACCTGCCGCCCAACTGCCGCCTCCGATCGCGGCTTTTTTTTTTTTGCTTGGGGCGGCAGAAATGCTGGAGCCGGCCCTGATCACTGTGGGTGAAGGGAGTAACTGGAAAGAGACCGCTTCATCCTCAATACATTACGAAGTGTTGGGTCCAATTAATGCCACCTTCATCATAGACTCTAGAGACTGAAAAGAAGGGTCAGAGGCCCCAGCCCATCTCCCTGGAGCCAATGCAGGATTCTTCGCTATGGCACATTTTCTAGAGTTTTGGCCAATCTTGTAAAATATCTCAAGTAATAGTGCTTCCCTCTGTCCTCCTGGGAGACACGTCTGTTGTTGCCTAACACATCTAGCTAGCTGGAAGTTCTTCCTAGCGTAGGTGGCTTTTATTCAGTTAGGGAGGAGGCTATTCAGGGGTGTCTGGGTCCAATTCAGAGTCCTTGTTCTAATCTTCAAAGCTCTCATCATCTAGGACCAGGCTACCTCTCCCTCTGTGACCCATGGAGATGGCTGCCCTCCGGGGGACCCAGGATGAAACTCCTGGGAGCCAGAGTGGCAAAGCAAACACATTGTTGTATCTCAGAAGATGAAACATGCTGCTGGAGATCAGATCCCTCGTCTGAGCGGTTATGATGAGGGGAGAGGGGGAAAGGAAGGCAGTCTGAGCTACATCACTCGACAAAAGCAGTCTGCACCCCGATTCACTGCGCGCTCTCTGTGATTGGGGTGTGGTCCCTAGGATGGTGATAGAGCCAGGGTGGTCATTTCCATCTCTGTGACCCCTGAATAAGCACGGGGGTTAAACAGAACCAGATTGGAGTGTGAGATTTTCTTCTAGTGGAAACAGCAATCTGATCTCCAAGCATCCGGAGACTGCATGACACTGGAGAGCTTTGGGCTCCCTCATTTCAAACCCAGGACAGTTTGTGGCCTTGCACACCCAAGGGACGGCTTAGCAGTTTGAGCACCAGGTTTGAAATGCTGCAGTCACCGGTTCAAATCCCAGCAAAGCTGACTCAGACCTTTATCCTTCTCCGACTGAGTTCTGTGCGGTTTACTGCTTTGAGGAGTCCTTTGGAAGGAGGCTATAAAAACCACAGGACCTGCCTGCGCGGTGGGGCCATGACACCTTCACAGGAGTGAGGATTTTGCACTTCCTCCATAGGCCTATCATGCTGTGCACCGATTGGGTGCCGCCCTCCAACCCAGAGGGAGGTGCATTGCAGACGAGCTGCTGCATGGACACCAGCCCAAAGGCGACAGTCATTTATTTTTCCTTTTTACTCAGGCAGAAGCTCCCAAGTGACTTCCTCAAGAGTTTTGCTCAAGTTAGGAAGGAGTACAACAGGAGTCAACACGTAACCATTTGGCCTGTAGTTTGCAATGGGCTTTAGAATCCTGGGGGCGGATCGCTGCCAGCCACCAAAGGAAGAGGGTGGGGGGGCTGTTCCTAGAATGGCTGACGCACTGGCCCAAGACTTGGGAAACCCAGGTTCAGTTCCTCGTTTCACCGCAGGCCGTTTGTGTGGCCCGTGGCAAGACAGAGTCTCCCTGCGTCTCAAATCCCCCGCTGTAAGTTGGGGACACAATAGCCCTGCCTCCGAGAGGGGCTGTGAGAATAAACACATTGAAGAGCACAAGGTGTTCAACTACGACGCCATGTTAGTACCTACACGTACAATAACGTTCCTAGGGGTTTTTGGGCTGTAGTACAGTGGGCCCGTGAGTTTCAGATGTGCTCTAAATTCAGTAGATCAGTGCTCCAGCTGCCCAGCTCCTATATTCTAATACAAGGGACTCTTCTGTTTCAAATCGCTGCAGGGAAACCGATTGCGGTGGTTGAAGCCTGGGAAAGAAAAGCGGTTCCCAAACTGTGGTCGTTTGAGTTTATTTCCTTAACAGGAATGGCTCCGGCAATCTAAATGCAGCTAGCGCTGGAAATGACTCCAGGCTATAAAGCACAACGGGTGGGAATGGTGGCACAGAGGGAGGGAAAGGAACATTGTTCTCTCTGGGCACCTCATCTTTGTCCTCCCCGCCTGGGTCTCATCGCAGCCACAACAAATAAATCATTGGTCTTTACATGCATTATGCCTCGCACATGAATGCTGCGAGCCTCAGCAACTGTCACGAGAGAGTGAAGAGCCAGGAGAAAGTCACAGGCCTGAGACCCCCATGGAATGAGGGAAAACAGCAGTTACCTTCGTACTACAGCTCCCACAATGCACCGTGCTGGAGCTGTTTAACGGGAAGGAAGGAGGGAAGGGAAAAGGGGCTGCAAACGAAAAGGCTGCTCTTGACCGGTGCTGAGAACACTGACCCCAGTGGATGTCAGTCCCATACAGGGTCAGCCCCAGATGATATATTTATTTTAAAGGAAACATGGTTTCCTTCCTCTTGCTGGCCTTGGTGTGAGCGCAGGTTCCAGAGAGAGTCAGAAGCAGGATCCCATGCTGGAAGCCCGAGAACAGCAGTCAATACAGAGCTGATGAAAGGAGCCAGAGGTGCAGCCCTGAAGACCAAAGCTTTCTTGATAGCTAGAGGACAGGTCTAGTGCATTTATTCCCCTTAGGAGGTGGGCCCAGTTTTGGGAATGAGAAGGTATTTATTCCCGGCCCATGCAGTCCCTGATCTCTCTGCAGAAACTGTTCAGGAGGCTGGGGGAAGGAGCACAGATCACGTAACACCACTCTCTTCTGAATGGAATCCGAACTGCTACACAGCATGTCATAGGCCCTACACTGCTAACATTGGATGGAGAGATTCTCTTTTAAATTAAATATGTGGGAGGGGTGGCATTGTGGTGTTGAAAGTTCACAGCATGGGGTCCTTTGTGGCTACGGTGTGCAGCACAGGGACTAGCGTGAAGTTCTTAGATGGCTAAAAATTTGTTGCAATACATTTCATGAAAACTAGCGTGCAGCAGTTTGGATTTTGATCCAGTTTAGGCTAACATTTGGGTTAGAGGACGAATCAGGATGGATTCAATAACACACAAACCTTGCCGGTTGTTCTCATGAGATTTCAGCCCTAAATGGCTTACGTCTCCATCAAAGTAGCTGTTCTTGTGACATTTCTGCCAACGTGGAATGAACCGGAATGGGGACCCATTTGTCCCCATGTGATTTCAGATCCAATGTGCAACCCAATCCATTGGGAGGAATTAGACTTGAAGATGTGGATCTGAATCCCACTCCTGAAATTCAAAGAGGTTCTGATCTAGGGTTCCAGGTTTGCCCCCCCCCCCAATAAAAACCATTAGACTGCTTAAGAAAAGATGCAACAGCCGGTCTCCCTACTTTCCCCCTCAATGTGGAAATGCTGGTCAGTTTTTCTTTGTTTGGATCAGTTTCACACTCCAGAGCTTCAGACCTAATGCAAAATTATTGAGTTTGCTTTCCAGCACCCCAGAGAAGTGTTTAATTCTTTAAAAAAAGTTTCACTGAAATTTAAAGAGAAATATTCTGGAACACATTTCCACTGGGCACACACCATCCTGCCTTCAGCATCTCCTCCCCCTCCACAAAGAGGGCTGTGCCCTACGACACCTGGATGCAAAGTGTGCTTGCAGAAACAGAATGTTATCATCTGTATTACAGCCATGCCTGGAGGTCCCAAGCAAGATTGTGCTGGATGCTGCACAGACACACAGGGATAAAGTCCTTGCCCTGAAGAGCTGACAACCGAAACAGACCTAAGCAGACTGAGGGAGGGAGGGGAAACAGGGGCCAGATAGGGAAAGGGACTTGCCCAAGGTCACGCAGCAGGGTCAGTGGCAGAGCCAGGAACAAAACTTGCGTCTTCTCAGTTCCATGACCATGATAAGGCCAGAAGCGACCACTCTGATCATCCAGCCTGACCTCCTATAAAGGAAGCCGGCTGGGGCTGCTAGCTCTCACGCATTCATTAGCAGTTCGGTGTGTTGCTGCTTTCAGACATCCAGAAAATGAAACTCATCCCAAGCCCAATACACCCCCATTTGTGAGCCTCAAACCGGAGCCACGTTTAGCTCCCACCCCTTGGGGAGGGGAGGGATAGCTCAGTGGTTTGAGCATTGGCCTGCTAAACCCAGGGTTGTGAGTTCAATCCTTGAGGGGGTCACTTAGGGATCTGGGGCAAAAATCAGTACTTGGTCCTGCTAGTGAAGGCAGGGGGCCGGACTCAATGACCTTTCAGGGTCCCTTCCAGTTCTATGAGATAGGTATATCTCTCCCCCCCTCCCATTTTATACCCAATCTTCCCCATTGTCCAGAAGGGCAGAGACAATCCCAAATTCCCACCAAGATCAAAGGGGACTGTCAGCCTCCCTAACTCTGTGTACATAGCATCAGGTGCCCAACCGAGCCGATGACCTAACCCCTGGCAAAGACAGGATTGCTGCCTGAAGCTTGCTTAGCAATTTCACCTCTGCCTGAGGACCCCAGGACTCCCTGTCCACTCTCTCTCACCTCCTCTTCGTTGATTTCCAATATGCTCCCAGGCTGATTCCCGTCTAATTTCCTGTCCCGTCAGTCCCACGGCAGGTGGCTGCTGCCTCACATCAGCGTCAATCGTTTTTCATCCCTAGAGAGCACCGTGGACTAAAGTATACTCCAAGCTTCCACTGGGGCTAGACTACAGGACCCCAAATCGCCCGGCAAAACTCCCCAATACTTAGCAACCTATTTTGTCCCGGGAATGCTAGTTGTTGAAGTTGTTAGGAACGGCAGGTGCTCAGCACTTGTGAAAATCAGGTAGAACAGGCAACACTTGGCCATTTTAGCTGTTTGGCAAAGGCCTATGGGCATTAATGGTGCTATAATAAAGATCCGTGTCCTCCATACCATTAGGTCAC